GATGTGTTTATATCCAGCTGTGACCTTGAAAGAGGTCAAGCCAGACACTGCTTTCTTCTTGTTCTCTCTCTTTCTCCTGTGTACATCTGCCTCTCTCCCCCACACTGTCGTTAAGCCTGATTCCAAGGGGGATAGACTTACTTTTCATGTGGCCTGTCCTTGTTCCATTATTTGTTATTTTATACCCATCCAGTCAACAAAATTGAAAGGTAAATACAGTATAAAGCCATGAACTCTTCATTCAGGTTCACCAATTGCTAAAGTTTGGTCCTTTTTACTTCCCCTGTCTATATATGCATTCATCTTTCTTTGGTGTTGAATGCTGTGAAGAACAGGGAAATTCTCTTGTTAACCCCGATTCCTTTCTCACAGCTAATATAAATAACAGTTTTGTCTAGTACCCAGTTCAGAGGGCACATTTTCCTATTTGTTCCAAATAATACTTTATGGTCGTTTTGTGCCAACTCTTTTTCCTCCCTGGTCAGCACCTCCTCAAATTATATGCTTTGCAATTGGTTACAAATTTGGCTCTTTTGATCTCTTGACAGCTTACCTTACAAGCAACTGACCTTTGTATTTCTTGACATTGACTTTCAGAATATTATCCCATCTACACAAGTATGGTGGGGTTTTATTATTTTGGATTGAAGATATTGGTCTTTTCATCTTCGTCCAGACTAATTCTACAATCTTATTTTGGCCAATTGCTTCCTTCTGATGTCTTCACTGGATGGTTTGAATGCCCAGTGTGGTATTTGGCTGAATCAGGTATTTTGTCAGGGGCTACAAAAATGGTTTCTGACTAGAATATTCTGCACTTATTAGCTGGTATTCTGTAAAGAAGAGCTTTCTTTTTTAAATGATTTATTTTATTTGTGCTTACAGGACTGGGGTACAGGCCAGAGATGTAGGGGCAGTGAGAGGATTCACCAGAGACAGAGCAGGGAGCAGAACAGGCCAACTGACGAGAAGTACACTGCTGAGGGGAACAGCGGGTGGGTCAGGAGAGGTCTGCCATGCCATGTGGTCACTTCTGGGGAAGGCGTGGATTGAACTCATGTGGAAGTGGCTTTAGCTTCTTAGTGCTGTGCTTTCACCTGCTGCCTCACCAGGGAGGGCCAAAAAGAGCTTTCTTTTAAGAATACTTTAAAAAAAAAGATTTATTTATTTATGCACACAAGAACTGGTGTGTAGGCCAGAGGTTTGTGGTAGGGGTGAGAGCATTTACCAGAGACAGAGTGGGGAACAGAACTGCACCATGTGAGTCAGCTCCTTGGCTGGGGATCGAACTCATGCAATGGTGGCTGGTGATAGCTTGACAGTGCTGAGACTTTAACCCCTGTCTCATCAAGGTGGCCCATCTTTTCAGAAAACTCTTTAAATGAATATCCTAGGGCTGCCAGCATAGTGGTTTGCTTTCAGTGTTTTTGAAAAGTTCCTGATTTTTTAAAAAGATTTATGCACAAAAGAACTGAGGTACAGGCCAGAGTTATGGGGGATGAGAGGATTCACCAGAGACAGAGTGGGGAACAGAACAGGCAGATCTACCAAAAGATACTGCTGAGGGGAGCAGCGGGCTGGTCAGGAGAGCTCTGCTGTGCCATGTGGGTCACCTCCCTGCCCAGGGATGACACTGATGCTACATTGGCTGAGGCTTGCTTCATAGTGCTGAGACTCAACCCATTGCTTTACCAGAGAGGCCCAGAAAGTTCTTGATTTTTAAAAGAGCCATTCACTAATCTCGGTAGCATCTCCAATATTCCTGGTTACCAATCAGTTTGTCTCAGCAGTTTTTTAAATACAATGTCTCATTGTAGTATCTATAATAAACCTTTCTGTAATTAAATAGAAGAATAACTACTAGGTGGGAGTCAAGAACCATGATGACCAGTTCTCAGGAAGATAGGGTTTAGAAAGCATACTTGTGGTTGAAGATCCAGAAATTGGTTTCCACCAAACTGTCTGTAGGCTGTGGGGCCCCTGCAAAGTTTTGCCTGCCCTGACCTCAGGCCTGCGCTGCAGTGCTGAGAGCTCTGAGCCAAGCCTTCCACATGTGAGTGATGACAGGTGAAGGCAAAAATTATGCCAATAGATAATGACTTAAGGCATAGCCTGGGTCTCAAGCCAGTGTCTGTCTGCACGCTCCTATTTTGAACTTCAGAAGCTGAATATTAACTTTTTCTTTCTTTTCATTCCTTTGATAAAAGTGAAGCAGAATGACATTCCCTTTCCCCTGGACAAAATGATTCCCCAGGCCAAGGAGAAAAAAAAAAATCACTTTAATCTTTTTCAGAATATTATCCCATCTGCACAAGTATGGTGGGGTTTTATTATTTTGGATTGAAGATAATGGTCTCTTTATCTTCATCCAAATGATTAAGAATAAAATTGATGATTACAAATTTAATATTTTAAAACAAAATTAGTATGTTCCATTGTAGGTTTATAGCCAGCCTTAATAATAGTCTGACTTAGGAATCCTTGTAAAATTATTATTTTAATCTTTAAGCCATGATATTTGTGTGTGTATAAAACTGCATATATATATAACTGCATATATATAACTGTATATAGAGTTTTATGTATAGGTGTATATGTATATATGTACACATGTATGTATGTATATAGCATATATGTAACTATATACACATATATTCTGTTATCCTAAAAGGAATGAATATTCTGGTCTTTTTTCAAATAATTTAAAGCAATTTTTAAATTTTTTTCTGTGAAAGAGCCACAGTACTGAGTCACGTCCCATTAGCTGGCAAGTTATTTTAGTCTCGTCCATTATTCGTGATGCAGAATAGCCAGGTACAGTGCACCTGCTCTAGATCACGTAGTTCTAAATCCAGTTGCCACACTTACTAGCTGTGTGATTTTGGGCACATGGCTTATCCTTTCTAAGCCTGAGTTTCCTTGCCTGTAAAACAGAAATGCTAAAACAGTGCTTATTTCTTTGCTTGGTAGGGGGATTTAATGGGGCCGTGGACTAAAAGCCTGGCACATGCTAACGTTGGCTGCTTCTGTTCTAGTTACTATGAGAAGAGACTTTGTGTTGTTATTATGGACTAAGTGACCGGCCTGCTGGACCACTAAAAATTTCTTCAAACACATATCCAACTTTTCTGATAAGTAAATTTTCCAAAAGCAGCAAGAATTAGAATTTACAGAGTGTATTTCTTGGAGAGTCTCATATAGAAAAACTAAAATGAAACTTATTCCTCCCATAAAATAGAAGCAGTTATGTCAAAAACTATGGCTGTTGAGCCACAAAGGTGCTTTAATTTCTTGAAATTATACTCTGTCGACCCTCCCTGGTGGCGCAACAGGTTAGGGCACAGACTTGCAAGCTAGCCACAGCCCCTTCAGCGCCAGTTTAATCCCTGCCTACCCCAGAGGTAACCCACATGGTGCAGTAGAACTTTCCTGTCTGTCCTGCCCTCTGCTCCCCTCAGCAGTGTACTTTGTAGATCTGCCTGTTCTGCTCCCCACTCTATCTCTGGTGAATCCTCTCACCACCCTTGCCTGTACTCCAGTTCTGTATGCATAAATAAATAAATCTTTTTAAAAATTAAAATCTTTTCTCCCATAAAATGGTAAAGCAGTAGCATCTTGTTAAGAATATCAACAGTCAGGTGTGGTAGGAAAGTGTCTCCCACTAAGGTTAGGTAGGAGTCAGAAGCTCCAACCTGAGGAGACAATTTCTCGTGGCCTTCCCTGTTTTGTGGTGACCTGCCACCCTCATTTTATGGAGCTGGCATTTTCATCCAGCTGCATCTAAACAGGTTTTCAGGTACAGTGGTTGTTGTAGGGGGTTACTGGCTCAGCGTCCATACTAATCCTAGAATCCTTTCAAGGTTTAGGGTCAGCAAACAATTCAGTGGGGAAAGGGCCCACTGGGTAATTTTGTCTCCGAAAATGCTAATTGAAAGCCCTCCTCAGCCATTCAGCTCTTTTCCCTCATCCTTTCTTTAGTCAGCAGGGTCCCATGGTGACCAGTGCTGAAAGAAATCATCCCCTTCAGCAGTTACCTAGCACCATGGCAACCGGGACGTCAGCAAAGCAAGACAGACCCACACAAAACAGCTCCTGCCAGGCTCCTTCCCGGCCTCTCTAATTCCATCCTGCCTGAGGCCTCGGGTGGGACTGGAGACATGCAAACAGTCACACTCAAGAAATCCTCCCTTGTCCAGGAACATAGACACATGAGTACATAGTAAATTAATGTGATGTGAATGCCACTACCACCCCTCCAAAAATTTTTTTTGAAGAGGAAAGGGGGTGATAGCTGGTGCGTGGTGAATTAGGCAGGGAGGTAGGCATGGGATCACCTTTTTGTGTTTAATCATACATATTTTTATTTATAAAGTAATAGTAAGTTGATAGTAGGGGAAGTGGGAACCCTAAATATATAGCCTGATTCATATTAGACACAAGACCTCAGGGAAATGTTTTAAAATATTTTTATTTATCTGAGAGTGAAATAGACAAATAGATTTAATGAGCCCTGAAGGGGGTGTAATGCTGTCCGTGGTGCTGAACACTATAATATCCCAGATGTGCCAAAGGGGCTGCGGATGGAGATGAGGGAGTATCTTGCCATGTTGGGGTACTGATGATAAGAACAAAAGAGGGGCAGCGGGGAGAAAGCATCATTTCCCTCTTACCAGACAACTCAGGATAAAATGTTCTTATGAGAAAGGGAAGTGGAGAAGGCTGGAGGCTTGGATGGTTGGATCTTCCCCTTTTCATATGGAGATTTTCAGTCAGAGCCAATCAGGTCAGAGAGTTCTGCTGCCTTGGTCCTGAAAGAAAAAGGTGGGGGAAGGGAGAGGGAAGAGGGCCACATTCTCCCTAGAGCCACATGATCCATTTCCCATGTGACACATTCCAGAGCCTTGGAAAGGAGCTGGGGAGGGGTGCCAAGAGTGGGGTTGGGGGCGGGAAGATGGTTTAGCAGTCAACTCTGCTCCGCGTCATCTTGTCTTCCTTACCAGGAAGAAGGCTATGAGCGAGGGGAAGGCAGATGACAGATATGAATGTATTCCCTTGCTGTCCTGGTGGTTTATGGCATTCTCCAAACTCGTGCAAGGGCTATTCCTCACCAAGAAGATCCAAGGAGACCGTCTCTGAATCAAATCCTGATGAAGGTATGTGCTAGAGATCCCTCCGTAATGGGGCTGGAATTTGGCTCAGAGGACATAATACTTTCGTCTTTTTCCAGGCAATTTGGGGATGGATTTTTTTTGTCCTGACTTGGATGCTAGTTAAAGGGTTTAGATTCGATACAGGACCAGAAAAGCTGTCTAGGTAGTTCTGAAAAATGAATAATTCACCAAATGATTAAGTACCTGTTGGGGAAAAAATGAGATGAAAATTGTATATAGTGGTAGATAATAGAACAAAGCACTTAGTGATGAAAAGGATAGATTTTTTGGTCCATTGATTCCTGGAAACAGAAAAAAATAATATTACTGAGCCCAAGTAGACTTCATTGTCAATGCAGTTAAATCCTTTCATCCCATTTTAGTTGCTTATTCTGTGCCCATGTTCCCAGAGGTTACTGGCAATAGCTTAGGAGGCTGAGTGGGCAGGCTTGCTGCTGCTTTGTGTTATGCCAGCATCTTCCTTCTGATCTTCTCGGCACCAGGAGAGCTTGTGATTGCTTCTAGCTCTGGCTGTAGATGGTAGACCACCACTAAATTCTAAATTGTATAAGCTAGCTACCAAGAGGACCCCCGGCAAGTTTTTCAAAGGAATCTACTGAAGTTATAGGCTGAAACTTAAATTTATTGGGCACTTAAATTTCATTATCTTTGCTATTTTTCTACCAACACAAAGAGGAAAGCGAGCAAAATGGAATTTTATTTTGTCTTTATTTAACAAATACTTTTCAAGTTCTTGTGATGTACAAAGCATCATTCTAAGCACACACAGAAAAATCATTTGATCCTTACATTAACCCTCTGAGGGAGGTGGTATTATTACCCATGTTTTAGAAATGAAAAAACTAAGGCATGTTGAAATTAGGGAACTTTCCCAAGGTCACACAGTCAGCAGATATTAGAAATAGATTGGATATAAGAAACTTGACCTCAGAGTCCATGATCTTAACCACTGAACGGCAGTCTCTCTGCTCATGTTATTTCAAATGATGTCAACAGTTAATCCAGCTGCAAATTTTGTTCAGCTTGCCCAGATAAAGCAGATCCCCATAAAATCTTTTATTATCACAATAGTCATACTCTGTACCCCCAGATAACCCAAAAAGTAATTGCCTGTTCCTCTCTTCCCTTTGCGCCGTATAGATGTCTGGTAGTAAAACACTGTGTTTCTATGGTGACCAAATGATGTCTGAAGGAAAAAAAAAAGAAATCTAGAATTACATCATGGTAGATTTTTTTTAACGGGACCTAGAAACATTCTTCCATCCTTAGAATCAAACTAGAGCCGTTTGACCATATTGTCTTAGAAGACCTTACCTGGCCTTCAAAATAAAATAGATGACAAATTTCTAAAAGTAGGGATATAATTATGCTATCAAACATACTTGTTTTATTGTTTGAAAATAATAGTATCATGTTTTAAAGTGAGGGACTAGTGCTCTCTTTACAAATTATTTTAGGTTGAGGGAAGTAGAGGAAATTTGGTGTTTTTTAACTTTTGAAAATTTTTGAACTATAAGGCTTTCCTTTTGGTCTATATAATTTGCCTTCTGGGTCTTGACAAAAAAGAATACTGACCTTATTCTCATAGGCCATTGGAAAACAAAAAGATGTCACTACGATGCAAGAGGGGGAAAAAAGAGATCGGAATCCAAAATTGGTAAAATTCTTGACTTAGTTAAGTGTCTCCCTTCAGGATTTCACTGAAGAATGCTTTGAAGAGAAATTGTGTTCCCTCAATAGTGAGCTTTAGTCCTTTAGCTTAATCCTCTGGTCCTGCTGAAATGTACATTTCCCAGGAACAGGTAAAACTTACCCACTATTATAATATTGTTCAATCTTCAGATTATTCAGCTAACAGGGGCATCTTGAGAGAAGGGACCAATATCCTTCCATCTCTAGAGTTCGAGGGCTGGTTTAGGGCATGTTCTCTCGGGATACATTTATGAATAGAGAATGGGGAGTGTCCAGTTTTGACGGTATTCTGCTAGAGCCATGTGGGGAACCGTTGCCTATTTTGTAGTGTTTATAGTGAAGAAGTAAATAGTTGAAGTCAAAATGATTCCTAAAGTTTATATTTGCTAGTCAGGCTGACCCTGGAGCAGTAGCAAATAAAGTTCAAGAAGTATCCATTAATTCTTGCCTGGGGATTACCAATTCCCTGCAATGCTGTGATTAATATTTAGAAAGAAGTTTTGCTATTTGTACTAAGGCTAATAGTCTTTATTTCCTCGGATGTTTTGCCTGGCGCAATCTCCCCATATGAAAGCATTTCCTCTAGGGATGAGAATGGATGTCTGGAGGTCACTTCCTGCCCCAGGCCATCCTTTGCTAATCAACTGTGATTTTGGACACCAGAATGTGGTACCATACTCCCTCAACCATAGCACATCCCCTTGGAGAACTCTGCGATCGACCATGTCAGTAGGTTGGAGCCAAACTTTCCCAAACCATGACATTTAGGACCTGAGTGTGAAAGATTAGCTCAGGGCATCTTGGAAGCTTGCTGGGAATTTGAATTTAAGTTAGCAGGCTAACTAGGTTTAAAATATACCCATCCCTCGTGGTGATGTACATAAATAGAACCTGGAATATTATTTTTTCCACTGCATCAAATCATTAAGGAGCAAAACAGTGGGGCTTGTGGGGCAGGTGTGGCACTTCTATCCCACCCTCTCATCCTCTACATACAATGTTACCTGCTGAGTGAGTTATATAAAAGCAACAGCCTCACTGAAGGCACAGGATGAGGGCTATTTGCCCACTGCCCAGGCAGACTTCTCGGGTATTAGCGGGCCCAGTGCCCCTGAGAGCCTTCCATCTGGAGGCCTAACATGAGAGCGTCCTCATGGGCACTCTCCCATTCCACCCTCTCTCTCACTGCGGACAACCGACTGGACCAGAACTCAAAAACCTAGAACAAAGAGCAGCTAGTGGAGAGGTTCCCCTTGATCAGAGGCCTTGTCAAGTGTTCTTTGAATTTGGAGACTGGGAATGAAAGAGGAAAGGAGAGGCACAAAGAGTGGGGGTGGAGGCCTGCCTGCTGCTAGTGAACCCAGCCAGATGTGTCAGGCCCTGCCCTGTGAGTGGTCCCTCACCCTTACCCAACGTGTCTGTGTGGGAGGAGAGAAACAGAGGCCCAGAAAGCGGAGGCAATCTCTTCCGGGAGCTCAGGCAAAAGATGGGACGAGATGGGAAGTGGCTTGTCTGAGAGGATAGTTTAAAAAGCCAAAGGCTTGAATCTAGGGACTGGTTTGTTGAGTCATTTTCCCATGGCTAAACTTTGAAAGCAGTCATATCCTGTGGCCTTTGACTCAGCTTGCCCTCCTAGGTATGGGATAGCTGTCATGTCTCGTCCTCATGGGCACTCTGTAATGTGTATTATAAGCTCCAGTTGCTGATTGGGAAACTGAAGTTCAGAGACTTTAACTTCTCTGCCCCAAGTCATACACATCAATAGAGCCAGGACCTGAATCCAAGGCTTTCTAGTTCTGTGCACTTTAAAATTTTCTTCCTTCTGCATTCTTTAAAAAATGAAAAACATAGCTGTATGGTTTTTGGATATTAGTACAGTTCTTGAAAATTTGCAAAATATAGGGAAGTCTAATGAAAATAAAAATCAGTCTTCTCGCCACCTCAAAAGAGCCTCTGTTAAAGTTTTTTTCATTGCATATAATGATACTGAAAGTAAATGGTGCACATTTGCTTTGTTTCAGACACTGCTCTGCTCCTTTCTTGTGTCATTTATTCTCACAGCAAATCAGTAAGGTGGGTACTCTCAGTATCCTAATTTAACTGGTGAAAACACTCAATAAGCTCTTGCCTGAGTCTACACAGGTAATAAGTGACTTGAAACCCAGGAAAGTTAGCTTTAGAGCAAGGATTGTCATCCTCAGCACATTGGTATTTTGCAGCAGATAATTCCTTTTTGGGGAAGCCTGTCAATGGTAGACCCATTAGTAGCATCCCTGCCCTCATGAGGCCTAGCAGATGTCATTAACACACCCTCCACATACCCTGCCCCATGACCCAGAATGACTCTAGACATTGCCAGTAGCCCTCTGAGAAGGCAGACTCTCTCTGAGGAAGTGTTTTCAGTCCTGTGCTCCATGGGCCTTGTTTTATTGAAAATGCAGTTAATTTATGCTCCATTTAAAGTAGGAGGCATGGTGAGATTGCAGGCTATGAGGCCTTCCTGGAATGTCAATGGCTTTCTGGGTCATAGGATATTAGTTACTTCCAGAGCAAGCTCGGTAGTAGACTTGTGCACCTGGCTGGGAGAAGCCTGCAGTCGTCAGTGGAAAGAATAGCTTTGCTTCTCTTCCTCATTATCATGCCCCCCTACTACTCTCCCAGGCACACTCAGCCTTAACCAACTCAGATTTCAGGTATGAGTTTTACAGGGCAGCACTTATAAACTCAAGTATCAAAATGTGTTTGTGTCCTAAACAAGAATGTCTGTTGCAAATAATTGCGTGCTAATGAAGTATCAAAGTTTGCCAGTGACTTTTTTTTAAAAAAAGATTTATTTATTTATGTGAACAGAACTGGGGTACAGGCCAGAAATGTGGGGGGTGAGAGGATTCACCAGAGACAGAGTGGGGAGCAGAACAGGCAGACTGACTGAAATACACTGCTGAGGGGAGCAGTGGGCCAGTCAGGAGAAGTCTGCTGCACAATGTGGGTCACGTCGCTGGCTGGGGATCGAACTCATGCTGCAGTGGCTTTTACCTGTTGTGCCACCAGGGAGAGCCCAATTTTAAAAAGTTAATTAGAGTACACTTAGTGATATTTCCATAATTATTCTTCTTAACATGTCTTTTAAAAATTGTTTATTTTTATTGAGGTACCATTTGTTTACAACACTGTAATGACAGTAATCTATGATCTATATATTAATCATGTGAAATGGATGCAGATACATGTTCAACCATGTTTTCAGTAATTTCTGATTACATGTAGTTGCATAATTTTTGTCCATGACA